CTTATCTCAAAAAAGTGAAAACTCTAAAGCCTGTAGCCACCAATCAAATTGTTCCTTTCGTTTCAGAACCTGAGCTAGAGAAATGAACAGAAGAATCTGATTGGTTGCCAAGAGGGTCAATGTTTTGGATGCTTTCTGTCATGAAGCATTAATAAGAAACTGGTTTAGAACTGCATTATCGACACCCAAATGCTACATGGGTTTGACCCCAAGCACCCTAAGGAATATCTGTCACAGGAAACAAGTAGAGAGCTCTAAGTCAAAAGTGGACAAAAAGTAAAATGTCAGTGTTGGCTTATATTATATATTCCAGCTGAAAGAAGGAATTTGATTGGATGGCTGTCATGTACAGCAAAGACAGGTATATTTTTTAGAAATGTCTGATAAGTATAACTGGTAAATGTGGACTTAGCCAGAGGCAACCCTTGCATTAAATAGATGCTCATGATTGGCAATTTTAAGGAACCAAAACCTTAAAAAAGTAATAAAAAACCTGAAAGCTAAGCCTTAGCAGTTATAAAATCTGAAATTGGGACTTCCCAAATATGACTGAATCCTGCCCAAATGTGATGATACTTTGTAAACCAAACAAATTGGTTTAAAAAGTTCAAACACGAGAATGTTGCTTTAATACTTGTTCAGAAGTGTAGTTAAAACGGTCAAGAAACAAAAGAGTCTTTAACTAATCCTATGTGCTTTTATCAGTACAATATAATCATTCTCCGCTTTACTCTGAAGAGCCGGTCCATCCAAAAGTACTATATCACCTACTGGTTTTTATACCTCTTGGGTACTGGGTACTCCAGTGGTGAGCTCTTTTTGCCATCATTCTTGGTTTTCTTCCTATCTATTGTAGGGTTCTCCTGACCAGTTTGGCATATTTATACTTCCTCTATAGCGTTCGTAATGTAGAATAAATTATACAATAAGATCAAAGGAACTCCTCATGAAGATCGTTAAACATATGCTGGCTTGAGAACCCGGTCATGTAAACCTCATCATTGGTTGACCTAAGAGTTATGAGATCTTTAGTAGGTTCAGTTCTCCAACATCTGCCATAAACTGAAATATCAGTTTTAAACAGCCTGACCCCTTGAAACATCTGTCATAATACTATTAATACAGTGATTTCATATTCATCATCAGCATAAAAAACAATACAGTTCAGGTTAGTTTCTCCAAAAAACATCTTTAATATTCCTGTAAAGAAATTTGTTGGGTATTTACGTGTAAAAGTGTACAATCTGCACAGGTTTTGCCTATAGTAGACATAGACAAACTTGGTCTGTAGCACTCTAGCAGGCAAAACCAATGTTTTTGGAGAAACAAGGGTCTTATGGCCTGGTCTACGTCAGAATCTGATCTATAATTATTATATTATATAACCAACACAACAATTCCCAGATAATCAATGTACAACATGAATAAATATATGTATAGACTCTCTTTAAATATTAGTTTCTCTATATATACAAAATAATTTACTTCCCAATATTCACTGACAATAGCATTTATACCTCCCCTATACAAAGACATTGCTCAAACATTTTTGCCTGTTTGCTATAGGCTAGTCCATGTTATTGGTAAGCTGAAAGGCATACCTTTTAAAAGTACCTCATAAAGGCAGTAATGTTGAGTTCTCATTCTGTATTCTGTGAATAATTGTTCCAGGTAGGGTTTCCACCTGTTAGTAAGGCCAGGTTTTAAGTTTCCACTGTCTGGTTTTACAGTTTCTATGGAAAGTATTAGTCTGGGCAAAACGGGACCAATCCCCTGCCACCATGCTCAGTCTGCTTGACTCCCACTCCCCTGAATCAGGAACACTGGCAGTATCTTATCTGTGAATGAAGTTTGCAAACTTTTGCAGACTTCACTCATAAATCCATTAATACAATCTTGTTTGTTATTTAGGTCAGGTTTTTTTTTTTATCTGCATGTGTCAGTTCTGTCAAACCTGCAAATGTAAAAAGAAACTTTTTTTTTTAAATAAAAGATGTTTCTTTTTAACCCATAATTACCTCTTAGTTAACCCTATTTATCCCTTAACATCTTACTAACCTTTTCCTTCAGCCTTTTATGCAGATTTTAACTTTTTTTTTTTTTACTCTTTTGCATTTAAACTCTGTTTTTTGTACATGTTGTAGTATTGCTTTAAAAAAATTAAAGACAAAAGTTTACATAATTTAAAGGGGACGATATCTCAGAATAATATTTGCACTTTTGCAAATGAAACGGAGACTATAATTACTTTAGTTTCCAGACTGCAGAAAAAAAAGTTTATTATACTGTTAATAAAACCTTGTGCCTGTTTGGCCTCGCTCACATGCTTTTTATGACTATATCACATTTCTTTATCCCACTTTAGGTAAGCTACATCCAGTGGTCACTATGACATGCATGGACCAAAAGATAGCAACCCTAGGTCCATCCAACAAAATGGCTTCCTTCACAAGTAAGTAACTCTGACCTTGCCTAAAATGTTTTGGAATTAACAATAGTGCTGTAGTGCATGGCTCTTGTTTAGTTTGCAAGTACCGGTGTTAGTCTTCTAATCAATACCTGTGTCTCTGGGGAACCAACTTGAATACAAGGTTCTAGCTGCACATGGAGCCTGAGCTCCTGCCTAAATCAACATTATCCCCACCCTGGTATTAAGCCTTGCCCTTGTAATTTATCAACACTTTATCATTAGATGTTCTAGCATTTGACTTTTGAATGACAGTGGGTGGTGCTTAATCTTGACTTGGACAAAGTGCAGCCTTGGCCATGGATACAAGGAGCTTACAAGGTATGCAGGAATTAATCTGAAGCCTAGCTCAGGGACCTGTAGACACAATAAGATGCGTGCACTTGAGCCCTGTTTTATGTTTATGGAACGGTCATGTTCACATTAATACAAGTGAGAGACCTTTAATGAAAATGTTTTTTATTTACCTGTATAGTGTTTTTTTTTGGGGGGGGGAATAGGGATCTTGTCAGCTGCTGGGTTTTAAGTGCACAGAGAGCCCATAGTTCTAGGTTTCCCTTCCAGCATGACAGCTGGTGAAATCTGGTATTGCCATGAACTCATCCATAACAATGGGTCGTTATGGGTACTCACATTACAATGGGTCATTATGTGTACTGCTGTCCTTTTGCCTTTTTTATATCTAGTAACTCAAGCAATGAAGGGACAGAAACGATGGTCCACCTGTTGTTTACTAAGGGGCTATGTGGGCCCTACATTTCTACACCCGTGTTCTTATGCAGGGAGTCCCGAAATAAATCATGATTTTTAACTTTTCTTTAACCCCTTTATCCCACCTTTCATAAAAGGCCATATTTAGAAAAGTAGCTGAATGAGGAACATTTTTAGATGCAACCAGAATCTTCCTTGCATAGTGCGATTCCTTGCTCTGTTCCCCATTTAGACAATGATCTATACAGCCCAATGTGCCAAGCCTATTCACCCAGCAAAGATCAATGTCAACAAACCCTCCATATCTGCTTTGAATCCCACAGTTGCCCTGCCTATCCAGTTGGACAATATTTTAAGCAAATGTCTACACATGTCAGAGTCTACAACACAATTCTAAAAGAAAACACTGGAAAAAAATATGGTACTTATAATGGGGTATTTACCAATTTGTAAGGATGAGTGCTGCCTGGGGCAAAATGAAAGGCCAACACAAACGGATTAGAAACTACAACTCCTAACATGCTCTGCTTGTTCTTGGTCTTATACTAAAAAGATGACTCCCAAAGTTTACATTGCAGTGCAACATCATACAACTTTTCACTGAAAAACGTCTTAATATATCTGTTGTTTTTTTTTATGGTTGTTCATTTTCAACACACAACCTTTTTAAACTCTTCTATAACCAAAAACTGGAAGATGCAAACCATGTGTAGGACGGAATAGTATGCAAAAGACATTTGAAGTGATGAATTAGCTGTATTTCCTTTTAAAGTGGAAGTTCACCTTTTGTTAGGATAACACTTTGCTATCAACCTTGCTAGGAAGGATAAATAAAGAATAATGCAACGTAGAAGGACCAATTTCTGACCTTTCTTGGGGAAAAGGCTGTTACTGGTTCTGTTTAGTGTTGGCCACAAAATATCGGGGCCTAAGCACTGGGTCATGTGACCTCTACTGATGGACAAGGTCAGAGTTCAGGTTAAATGATGCTTTACTTACTTTATACAATATGTGACATTTTAGTATACTGTAGGTCTACTTTATAGGCCAAACGTCTAATAGACTTTGCTCTTCCATACTTTAAAATGATATATGCTTGGGTCTGTTCTATTTTTTTATATTATGTAATTATGGGTAGGCCTTAAATTTTCGGCAAATTACACAATCGTATTGTGTAATTTCTTCTTTTAGAGAACCGGCCTTTAAATAAACATTCAATTATTTACGGCTAGCTGTGGCCAACTTTAGTGTAAAATAAAATCATCACATTTTCCTGCAAGTAATATTTCCCTCTTGAGCATTTACAGTCAGGTCAGGGTGATTCCAAAGGCCGTTTTTTCTGCGCATACAGGAGCTCCATGTACTGATCCCCTACTGCGACCAGCAAAATTTAAAACCATTATGAGAAGAACAAAAATTACTTGGTATGAAAAAGGAGATAAAAAGGGTAATAATCCAGAACTGAGATAATACACGAAAATTATGTTGCAGGTAAAAAGATCATAAAAGTGAACTTGCCTTTTTAAAGGAACCTTTGGCACCCTTTAATACAGCTTATCACCCTTTCATAAGCTCACATGTGCAGTTGATAAGCAGGAAAACTGGAGAAACTCCAGAATATTAACAAGAGAATGGAAGAAATACATGGTAAAAAAATGCACATGGTAACAGTTGATCAGGTAGGAGTTGTGTAGAATGAATTACAAGATGGGTAATATGGGGGAAAAGGGAACATCTAAGTTGTACCCAGATGTCTGTCCATGTTTTATACACTGCTGTCTGGCTCTGAGGTCCTAGAGGTAATACGAGGACATTCGGTCATCTAGTAGACCCAGCTGACGGGAACCCACTGGGGCTCAGTGCGCAGTTTCTCAAGAGCCACCTGCAGCTCATGGAAACTTTTCTCCAGATCTGAGTTCACCAGACTAAGGTCAAAGTAATGGCCATAGGCTTGCTGGAGCCGTTCACTTTCCTCCACAATGCGTAGGAGCTCACTGTCCTGTAGGAAAAGGGAAGGCATCACCCAGTATCACATAAAAGCAGGCATACACTAAACATCTCAGAAGCATCAAAAAAGGGTTCACCAAAAGCACGTTTGTAAAATATCTCTTTTCTTGGGTACATTGGTGCTACAGGGGAGATACTTTAGGCAAAATGAAGTCACGGATTTAGTTTGTAGATAATAATAAGACCATCAGGGTTTTCACAGTTAACAGTAATAGATGATCCAACCCGGGAGCTTCATAACTTATGAAATTTACTTGGACATCCTGTAGCTTCATATGTAAGGGGAAAAAAACAGTTAATCGGGTAAATCCATTGTGATAAGACCATTTGAAGTTTCCACTTACTATTTTCTTTCTGGCATAGAAAAAATAATACCTTGACACAGTTCTAAGGTGTGTACTAAGCATTAATACTGAACAAAAGACTGAATTCCACCCTACTGTAACCACAATTGTCAACTACAAGTACCGTATATACTCGAGTATAAGCCGACCCGAATATAAGCCGAGGTACCTAATTTTACCACAAAAAAACTGAGAAAAACTATTGACTCGAGTATAAGCCGAGGGTGGGAACACCAGTGGGAAGCATCCTGCCTCATCATTGGTGTCAGTGGGAGGAATAGTGCCCCATCATTGGTATCAGTGGGAGGAATAGTGCCCCATCATTGGTATCAGTGGGATGAATAGTGCCCCATCATTGGTATCAGTGGGAGGAATAGTGCCCCATCATTGGTGTCAGTGGGAGGAATAGTGCCCCATCATTGTGTGGTGTCAGTGGGAGGAATAGTGTCCCAACATTGGTGTCAGTGGGTTGAATAGTGCCCCATCATTGGTGTCAGTGGGGGGGAGGAAAAGTGCCCCATCGTTGGTGTCAGTGGGGGGGGGGAATAGTATCCCATGATTGGTGTCAGTGGGGGGTGGAATATAGTGCTCGATGATTAGTGTCAGTGGGGGGTGGAATAGTGCCCAATCGTTGGTGTCAGTGGGGGGGAGGAAAAGTGCCCCATCGTTGGTGTCAGTGGGAGGAATAATGCCCCATCATTGGTATCAGTGACACCAATGATGGGGCACTATTCCTCCCACTGACACTTGCTGACCCCTGTTCCAGTATGGTGCTGCTGCAGCCTGCATATGTGATTGCAGCAGCACCTAAGCACGGCACACTTACCTGCATCTCCTTCCCTCGATTTTCGCGGGGCCGCTCAGCTCCGCCTCCTCGGTGATTGGCCGCCTGTGTGCCTTTCCTGAGCTACAGTTCTGGCGGCCAATCACCGGTGAGAAGGCGGAGCCGAGCAGCAGCCGCGCGAACATCCAGTGGACGAACCGAATGAAGGAGCAGCCGCGCTTCCTGGACCGGATCGTCATGGGACCGGAGCCAGGTAAGAGACAGCAGCCCCCTGCCCACCGCTGTACTTACCGTAGTTTCCCTTCTGTTGGAAGGGGGGGGGGAGCCATCTGCAGACGTTGACTCGAGTATAAGCCAAGGGGGCCGTTTTTCAGCACAAAAAAATGTGCTGAAAAACTCGGCTTATACTCGAGTATATACGGTATCTTATAAAATTGCAAAACCACCATAGTGGTAGGACTGTGCATCTTTTATGACCCAGACCATACTAGTTTACGGCTCAGAGTGAGTTCCTTTTTTTAGCTGGACACTATTTGGCATATTTTGACTGGAACCATATTTGGCAGGTGTGTTTTCTGCAGATTTTAATGAGTTATATCTGTAAGGGTATTACAGATGTGTTTATATAGCCTTAAACACAGAAGTTGTTTTACTTTTTTATATGACAATTGTAGTTTATCATAAAAAATTTATGTTACGTATATCTATGCAGTGATGCATTTTTTTCAGGGACAATTTTAGTTGTAGTAGTGTACTTAGCAGTCATTGTTCTGCTAACTCAGTTGTGCCGGTTAATTTTTGGTATTTTTTTGTAATTTAAAAGACTGAATTAAACAAGACAAATAAGAGCAGTTTTTAAATCAAACACTGAGACCAGAATCCCTGCATCTTGTAGCATTCCCCAATGGTATGAAAGAAAAAGCTAAATATTCAGGGGCATTTATATTATTTTCCATAATCACTGGCCCCTGTTCTAACAGCTGCACTGGGGTATGTCCTATCCTAGTTACATCTCTTTACAGCAGTGGTTCTCAACCTGTGGGTCGCGACCCCTTTGGGGGTCGAACAACCCTTTCACAGGGGTCGCCTATGACCATCGGAAAACACATTTCCGATGTGTAAAGAGCAGCTACTGTGTAGAAAGCAGCTGCTGTGTTGAAAGCAGCTACTCTGTTAAAAGCAGCTACTGTGTTGAAAGCAGCAGTATTGGAGGTAAAACGACACTCATGAATTATAATTACTGGGTAAATAATTTTATGGTTGGGGGTCACCACAACATGAGGAACTGTATTAAAGGGTCACGGCATTAGGAAGGTTGAGAACCACTGCTTTACAGAGCTTTCTTGACTTTAAAGGGCAGCAAGGCTGATAGACAGCATATGAGCCCTTCTGCATCCCAATGAAATTTACCTTTTTTGACATGTCTGTCTGTTAGCAGCCCCATTATAATGATCCAAACAGGTGTGGAAGCCATCAACCCTATAAACCTATGTAGATTCCCTTGTCCCAGGGGCGGACTGACCATTCGAGTACTCGGGCACTGCCTGAGGGCCCGGGGTCAGTAGGGGGCCCCATGAAGTGCCCCTGGCACCTTTTTTATAGGCTTTTTGGGTGTGCTTTGAGTGTGGGAAAGGACACAGGGGCCCCATGATCCCCTATTGCCAGGGGGCCCCTTGAGTTGTCAGTCCGCCCCTGCCTAGTCCATTAAAAAATAATCAGATTAACACTTACAGACAATTGTTTTGCTGTCAGACCGGCATGAACTGCTGCCTGGTTGTTGGTTTTTAGGGTTTGGAAATCTGGAGCTCCAATGAACACAACATATGGCACAAACTCTGCAGTCCTGAGGACTTTCACTGCCTGTTGAGAAATCCAAGAGTTAGAAAAGCTAGATCACAGATCTACAGCTACATATTTGTGTTTTCTTGTTTATTCCTGCTCCCTAGCAATGCAGCATATTCAGTTCAGGTCGTAAAACGTGTATGTGCTACATGCGATAATGCTAAGACATTGAATTGGTAAAGCCCAGCTACAGCCAAAACTTGTTCTACTTTGGGATAGAGTAGTGAAGATATACATATAACCTCTATATTATTTTTATTTGTATGTTTATGTTGGTTTAATCAGGTCTCATTGTATCATAGTTGTGGTTATCCTTTTATGGAGGAGAGAGCGAGACACTGTGTGCTGGCAGCCTTATAAGTAATAAAACCTTTAAGACACAAGGATCAATTCCTTGACAAAGATGAACTTCTATTTGTAGTGTATTTACAATCAGGCTAGGATTATATTGTATTTTATGGTTTTTTTTTCTCACCTGAGGGTTGACATCCAACACACACATCTTTCCTGATGCCACCACTTCCTGTATGGAGCTAATTTTGGTGCCGTACAGATTGCTCTCATATTCTCCATGCTCCAGATAGCGGCCAGCTTTTATGTCTTGTTCCATCTCTGCACGCGACACGAAGATGTAGGACTGACCATCCCACTCTCCTTCTTTCCTCTTCCGTGAGGTATCTGTAATGAGATCAGAAAGTCCGGATGAGCATATGTAGTTATTGTTATCCTAGTACACCAGCTGGTTCTACAAAGGCGTCATTTTGAAAGTTTAAATGTTGATCCAAGGTTTGGCCTGTCCGTTTAATGAGAATAGAAGTAGAGTCCCACTCAGGTGATATCAGCATGGGTGAAAAGATGTATAGTTTGATTCACCACTGGGTCCATGTATCCCCACTCCCACCACAGCACAACTACAGGCTACACTTGGCCAATAGGATGAACTTGCAAGTCTGCAAGCAAGACAAAGTGGGTTCTCCATATATTCCTTAGCAAAATCGACATATGTTCCAATAAAGATTTCACTAGAGGTCTGGTGATACAGCGCCGGCATTCAATTCTCTCTTCAAGAAATATTCACCAAAAGTGAACATTCTCTTGAGGTTATACTGTAAATATGTTGCATCACAATGTACAAGCAAATATGGGCCTACAGAAACTCACATGGTGTTGTGGTGCCATATCTCAATGGGTCCGAAGTCAGCAGTTTATTCTTCAGGCTCCTCCTCCCAACTCCCTGGGCACCAATAAGAATAAGGGTCTTTCTTCGAAATGGGGGCATTTTTGCTACTTCTTCGTATATGAGAAGCTCATGGCGGTCGAACTCTACAAAACAGGAATCAGGTGATATTTTTATTGCTGTGTGTTTGATTAGAACAATTGATGCCCATTCTTTTGGTGAAGTCAATGCTCATTAATGACATTCTAATGCTATCAAGGACACATTTTGAGTAGAATTAGATTTTTATGTGGGCTCTTATATTTCCTTTCACAAACCAACATTTTTTTAGGAAGGTCAGTCTAGTGTATGTCTGTATGACTGTAAAAAGAGAAGGTAAAGGAATATAATATACAGGGTGCCAACATCCCTAAAGAATACAAGGAGGGGAGTCCTCTTTTGGACAGGACTTTAACGGCACAATTCTCTTATATAATACATTTAAACAGTTCAATAAATATTTTTTTTTATAAAAACAATATGCAGTTTTATTATTAGAATCTTAAAAAAAAAAAAAAAAAAACCCCCCAAACATAGAGCTACAATACAGATTGCGGCGGTGTCATTAAAGATGGTATTGCAAATCTAGTCATGGATCATGCGTAATTCGCACTTGACGTGTTTCAAGATCAACAGAAATCTCTTCCTCAGAAGTGCTCAGAATTGTGCCGTCAAAGTCCCATCCAGAAGAGGACTCCCCTCCTTGTATGACTGTAAAAGGATGTAAGAAGGAAAGTCCTTTCAGGGGGAGCCTGAAATAAATGTCTCTAATTGGCCAGCTTTGGGTGGAATGATACATTTAAGGAATTGATAAGACACGATATATTCTCAGGGCTGAAAGATTTTGTACCTTATTCATATCTCCCGTACCCACATATATACCTATGAATACAATGACCCCATATGTTTATGAACATTTTACCTGCATTTTTGGTGGTTACATACATTATCCTCTTCTTTTTTTTTCCTCCGATACTTCCGCAAAGAGCACCTATCAACACCAACAATTTGTTACAAAATTCAGGTCCATAATTATATACTGTACATATAACTTGTATAACACACTAGCAGTAATAGCGCACTATTACTGCTTCTGAACTACCTTCAGATGCACATAAGGATTTTTTGTTGAGAATGATAGGCAATTAGAAATGAGCAAATCACCTGCCGTGCCTTTTTTTCCTAATTTTGCCAGAATCCAAATACAATGCATGCGTGAAAAAGGGACTATGTCTTCTTTGAGTGAATAAACCCTTTACCACAGACTTAACATGCATTGGAAGAGAGAAAGTCAAGGCAAATGTACTTATGGAAAAAAAGACTTGGGGTTGACACCTCAAAACTGGACACATACAAACTACATAAGTTCTATAACTAATTAAAAACAGGTAACTGAATCTAAGTTATAGGTTATAGGAGGATGTGGCAACCCAAGTTGAATTCCATCAGCTAAACGCACATTTGAAAAAGGTATTTTACCTGGCAAAGGATTTGTGCTGCTGGTCTTATGATCTGGGAACTGCTGCTAGCCAGTTTCCTAAACTTCCCAGTAGTAGCCCAGCTTGGTCAAGAACCATCCCCAGCCTCCTGTTTGAGCAATGAAGGACTAGCAGAAGACTATAGATTTCAGCATATGTGCACAGCAAAATCTGATTGCTTATGGCTCTCCCTCCCCTTTCCAGACTTTTCAGCCTTTGCAGTGCTGCTGGACATGGGATTACAGGAGGCTGACATCTATACAGGTTTAGATACTTAAATTAGCTGTGTTTTAGATATAAATTGTTTTAATCAACCCATAACTACCACTGATAATTTTAGATCTGCCTGGAGTTCAACTTTAATAGGGCTTAGAATGAAATGTAAAGTGCAGTAACCTACAAGAACCAATGAGTAACCTTTAAACTGATGAAAGTTGAAAAAAGGAGTGCTTGTGTGTACAGCACGTCAGTGCTGCCCAGGCATACCTTACTAAAAAGGCCCAGTGTGCTCAAACTGCATTTAGGCCGAAGCGGAAGGTTACTCACTAGAGTTTGGAGTCAGCTCACCATCTCTTTTAACAAATGCTTTTCTTTTCTCCTCCAGTAGCTGGCTGGGAATGAGACCTGCAGAGCCACCTTTCACTAGACACGCCTGGACAGGAGAGATAGTGAAAAGAAAAATTTCAATAAGCCCTGAAGTGACCCTCTGCAAAACAGTTGTATTCTAGCACAATCAGGCTGCTGTCAGAAACCACGGGATCCCATACAGTCAACTTGACAGTGCCCCCCCCAAAAAAAACAAAAAACAAAACACAGTTTATGAATGAACACACTGAGTTATTGGTGCTGGTCACTCATTGTGTTCATTCAGCAAAGGAAGGGGCTGGTAAATGTGACATATTATCAGGCCTTCCTCCACTCTCCACCTGTGAGGATCTTATTGTATGCTTGCAACTGGCAGTGGAAAGGAGAGGAGGGAAGCCGGCAGCACTGTGGGATGGGGGCACATGGGGGGCTGGGCAGCAGAGGGAAGCATATGGTGCACAGGGAGGATGATAGATGAGGTGAAGGTCAATTACTGGAAACAATCGCCTGTATGACCTTCTCTGCAACAACTGAAAGCCAGTGGGAGGGAGAGGAGAAGAAGTCAGCTTTCAGCTGCTGCAGATAGAGCCATACAGGGGATTGGTTCCAGTAATTGACCCCTGCTGTGCTGATCACCCTCCCTACCCACATCCAATTTACCCAGCTGCATGCCCCACCCCCTGCTGGCTTGGGCCCCGTACAGAAGGACTGGTGGTACCCCCTTATCCACGGCCCTGAGCACAATACATCTGATCGAATTTCAGATGGTTCCTAACGAACTGGGAAAATTTTGCTTAGTGGGTCTTCTTTTCAGCCCCCTCTTGCCTGACATTCTTCAACTGAAAAATCAAAGGGCAATAATTATTGGTTGAACAGCAGCCGCATCCAGTCAGATGCAGTCGCTATTTAAATATTCTGACCATATTTGTCCATCTGCACTGTTTACCGTAGATGGAGTAATCCATTTCATTTTTTTTCATTCACTCTGCAGGCTGAATGCAAAAATCTAATATTGCATGGCCAGCATTGCATACAATATGTTGAAAAAATATGCATCTATTGATTTTAACCAAAAATTAAAAAAAATGCATCCCCTGAACCCTCAACCTGCAGTTGGCCCAGAAGATTCTTATAAAACCTAGAAAATTTGCAGTAACAGGGAAAAAAATTCTCCCTGATCCAAAACGTATACTCCCGGGATCAAGAAAGATACCCCTTGGATCAACAATCTTATTTTTTTTATAACTCTAAATAACCAGTTGTTTTGCATTTAGAAACCTATCCATCACTATTTTGAAGCAATATACTGAGCTGGCTCGAGCCTCCCCTGTGGAAGGTGTTTCTGAATATTCCCTGCTCTTACAGCTACGTTGTGGAGGTTAAACTGCTTTTATTCCAGGTATAAGAAGTGTCCCCTTGTCTTTTGCAACATTGTGAGATCAGATCCAGCATTTCAGATTTGGATTGTCTAAACCATACAGTGGCAGGCAGGAAGATATCTGCCTGTCATGCAGATCTGAGACCACCACCATACTGGGCCAATGTGAGACAATAATTATATTCATATTAGCTCTTTGAAATTGAAGAGAGAAAGATCAGAGCTTCTGGAAAGGCAATTTTACAATACACTGCAAAATCACTGTGTGTGATAACATCTGGTGGCTGAGCTGCTCATTGTGACCTTCTAGGCAGGTCATAAATGGTCCAATTATTGCATATTTTTTTTACTCTTGAACATTTCTTGCAAAAATTACTCTCTTTCTGGCCATACTTGTGTCTGTCAACTCTGTTAATTCTTTATATCCTAAAAGCCATCCGATGTCTATGGGTTTAATATGAGAGGTAGAACACATCCATAGATGAATTTTTGTTGTTACTGACCTGCCACCAGTTGGGGTCTTCCTGGTTGACAATCTGCAGGAGGTCCCCTGCACGGAAAGCCAACCCTGCCTCCTTACAAGGAATCAGACTGTCATTTGACGGGTCGTAGCTGAAGTGACACTTCACAAACACCTGAAACGTAAGAGACGTGTTTTTTTATTATGTATGTTGTAATGAACCTCAATTTTCTTACAATATGTAAATGAATAAACATGGATGTAATGAAGGTGGGCTGGCGATATCAGGTTCTTCATGCACAATGAAAGTGTAAGCAACATTGTAAATTCTATTAGACCTGTACCAGATCCACCAACACCACGATGCACCACAGAGCAACACAAGTCATTTTTGCCTATGGCCATCCAATGATATAATTCTTCTCTGTGAGCGCTAAATGTGAGGATTTCATCTGGTCTATGATCCAGATTTTTATGAATTTTCTACAGTACGTTGGTATTAGGTTAATTATGATTTTGGGTAATGCTAGAGAAAGTGGTGTACTGTGCATTTTGGTAGTTGGATTTTCTCAATCTGAGTTATATATTCTATGTTGTATTTTAGCAGTATGGATGTTTTAGTATAGTTTTATTCGGTACTAATTGTTGTTATTGGTGATTTTTGTGTCATTTTGTGTGATTTTTGGTGTCATTTTGTTTGTTATTGTGCTTATGTGTTGACTTTGTTGAATGCAACTGTATCCTAATCATTTCCCTTTGGGATTACTAAGGTTTACTGAATCGGAAGAGATCCTTGCTGTATGTACTTCTGGTTTTCTGCTGCATACCTGTCTTAGAGGATGCTGCTCCTGATAGCTTGGGAGTATTTTCAGCACCACACTCCCGCTGGCCTCCCGCAGCATCTCCTGTAGAGCTTGAGGGTCGCTTCCTACCTCCCGTCCATTCACCTCCCTTATGACATCTCCCACATGAAGAAGACCTTGCTGATCTATAACACCACCATGCAGGATGCGTGCAATCACCAGCTCACCACCCTCCACACGGAAAGTCACACCCTGATGGAAGAGATGGAAAAAAGGTACTCTTAACAACAAAAAGAAAGTAATGGCAGCAGTAGAAATTGGCAAAGAACAGGGATTATTTTCTAGCTTACCAAATGCTCCCCTGCATTCTTCCTGACACCCACCATACGCACAGCATCAGGTGGAACGGGCTGGTTGCTCAGGGTAGGATCCAGAAGTGGGCTTGGTGGAGGAGTCTCATAGTTCTTGGAAGCCACTGAGTCATGAGTTTGTAAAAGAGACTATAAAAGAAGAAGATAAAAAAAACAACTAAAAGTTCATTAGGATTCATTATAGCCAATACTTGATAATGTGTTTATGCCTCCACTGCTGTAATTTCAGATGAAATATGGAAACATAATTCATACAGTGGCTTTAAAAAGTATTCATACCCCTTGAAATTTTTCACATTTTGTCATGTTACAACCAAAAACGTAAATGAATTTTATTGGGATTTTATGTGATAGACCAACACACAGAGGCACCTAATTGTGAAGTGGAAGGAAAATGATAAATGGTGTTAAAAAATTTTTTACAAATAAATATCTGAAAATTGTGGCGTGCATTTGTATTCAGCCTCCTTTACTCTGATACCCCTAACTAAAATCTAGTGGAACCAATTGCCTTCAGAAGTCACCTAATTAGTAAATAGAGTCCACCTGCGTGTAATTTAATGTCAGTGTGACCCAGGAGGGGGTGGAACAGAATACATGCGGAGAGCAGTGGGACACACAAGACTTTTATTGACTGATAGTGAGGGCACACGATTAGTATAGCAGATTTCTGGTAGAAAAAAAGGGTTACGTCCGTAACGCAGGGTGGGGCACACAGCAAGGATAACCGAGTTCTGGCAGGCAAAAGGGGGTTAAATCTGTAACACAGGTTGGGCACGCAGCAGGGGGCAGAAGTCCAGTAGACAAAGGGGGTTAGTCCGTAGCACAGTCTGGGCCCACAACAGGGAGGCAGGACTCTAGCGGGCAAGGGTTAAGTTCTCGGCACAGCAATTGGCACACAGCAAAAAGGCAGAACTCTGGTGGGCAAGGGTTAAGTCCTCAGCATGGGGTTAGCACAGCAAGGAGACAGAAGTCTGGTGGGCAAGATTTAAGTCTGGGTTAAATCCTCAGCGCATGGGTTGGCATACAGCAAAGAGGCAGAACTCTTGTGGGCATGGGTTAAGTCCAGGTTAAATCTTCAGTGCAGGGATTGGCACACAGCAAGGAGGCAGAACTCTGGCAGGCAAGGGTTAAGTCTGGGTTAAATCCTCAGTGCAAGGGTCGGCACACAGCAAGGAGGCAGAGCTCTGGTGAGCAAGGGTTAAGTCCGGGTTAAATCAGCGCAAGGGTCGGCACACAGCAAGGAGGAAGAACTCTGGTGGGCAAGGGTTAGGTCTGGGTTAAATCCTCAGCGCAGGGATCGGCACACAGCAAGGAGACAGAACTCTGGCGAGTGGTGGAGAGAGCAAGGGGCCGGTAGCAGTGGCAGGCCAGCCAGGCCTCTCAGAGGTCCAAGGGTCCTGGGATGGAGAGGGGGCTGTAGGATCTGGCTGCAGCACAAGATCTCTCATAGCACAACAGCAGGGGAGGAGAAGAGCGAGCAGGGGGGGAGTCCCAGTGTCCAGGAAGCCACATAGACAATATGAAACTACAAGTCCCAGTAGCTTAGAAAGCAGAGCACAGCCCATACAAGACGATCTTTCTCAGCAGTTCTGCTTATCTTCTAACTTCCTTCTAGGAAGACATGCAGCCCTCAGCTCCTGTGTGTCCATCACAGGAGTAAACTCAGGAAAAGGTCTGAGCCTTTCTGCCAAAATATAAGGCAAAATATATTGTCCCTTCAATTCAACTAAACCTCAAACACCCGGTGCCGACACATCTGGCTTTATCCAGCTACAGGACTCTGTGCTGTCTGTGCCTTCCGCTGAGATCAACCTCATCTCCAACCCCCTGCGGGGCACAGGAACTCCTACATTTAATTAAGCAGACAAGCTGACTGCTTGACACACTGTTGAGTTCAACAAAACAGCACAAAAATAAAATAATAATTCTGCTGTCCGTCACAGTCAGTATAAATACAGCTGTTCTGTGAAGCCCTCAGAGGCTTGTTAGAGTACATTAGTGAACAAACATCATGAAGGCCAAGGAACACACCAGACAGGTCAGGGATAAAGTTGTGGAGAAGTTTAAAGCAGGGTTAGGTTATAAAAAAAAATCCCAAGCTTTGAACATCTCATAGAGCACTGTTCAATCCATCATCTGACAATGGAAAGAGTATGGTACAACTGCAAACCTACCAAGACATGGCCGTCCACCTAAACTGACAAGCCTGGCAAGGAGAGCATCAATCAGAGAAGCAGCCAAGAGGTCCATGGTAACTGGAGGAGCTGCAGAGATCCACAGCTCAGGTGGGAGAATCTGTCCACAGGACAACTATTAGTCATGCACTCCACAAATCCGCCCTTTATGGAAGAGTGACAAGAAGAAAGCCATTGTTGAAAGAAAGCTATAAGAAGTCCCATTTGCAGTTTGCAAGAAACCATGTGGGGGACACAGAAAACATGTGGAAGAAGGTGCTCTACAATGGAATGGTTTAGACCAAAGCATATTCATGTGTTAGAATGGCCCAGCCCAAATCCAGACCTAAATCCAATTGAGAATCTGTGGCAAGACTTGAAATTTGCTGTTCACAGATTCTCTCCATCCAATCTGACAGAGCTTGAGCAATTTTACAAAGAAGAATGGGCAAAAATTTCACTCTCTAGATGTGCAAAGCTGGTAGAGACATCCCCAAAAAGACTTGAAGCTGTAATTGCAGCGAAAGGTGGTTCTGCAAAGTATATACTCAGGGAGGCTGAATACAAATGCACACCACACTTTTCAGATATATATTTGTAAAAAATGTTGAAAACCATTTATCATTTTCCTCCCACTTCACAATTATGTGCCACTTTGTGTTGGTCTATCACATCAAATCCCAATAAAATACATTTACGTTTTTGGTTGTAACATGACAAAATGTGGAAAATTTCAATGGGGATGAATACTTTTTTCAAGGCACTCTATTAGACATTAAATGTAACTGTATGGATATCCCATAACATTGGCGTTAAGGAACCACCAAAACTGGTTGTGCTCCGGTCAAGAGATGGGAAGGAGAAGCTTTGTATAGGTAAAATTGGAATTTTTCTTCCAAGAGGATTTCCTGAAAAAAAAAATGTGAAAACTGCATCATGGAGGGGTTTACTCCACCTACACCTCTTTCCAGAGATGCTTTTTTATTTTACAGTGCTGCCAGGGGACGTAATCCAAAATTGGAATTAGATTTTAATTAGTCCCCCCCCAAAAATGATGTTTTTATTATATGTAGGACAATGTCTTCTATCTCATGGAGACTATTGGTGAGACCTCCACTCTGAGTTCCTGGGTCTGCACACCTGCCGTGATCCATATAAAGGGTTCCCACTTTCTCTGCTAGATTACTTTTAAATTATGAGTAAAGTACCAGGAGAACCTGGAATACAAAGAGCTGGGCATGAATACGCAACATTTACAGGTGAAATAATGGTAGAAAGATCTTACTGTTGGCGTATTCAAGACATATAAGAAGCCAGGGAATGACTCACCAGGCCCCAGCAATATCAGTTTTGGGTGGACTGATCCTGGTCACAGCCAGTGCATAGATATTAAACATGTTTAAATGATTATTTTATAAATATAAAAGGTGAAAGTGTGACAAATAAAATGAAAAGAAGAGATGTTAGTGCTACCTGGAAATGTGGCTCCTGCAGAATCTTTTTCAGCTCAGCTGCTGTTCCACTGGGATCTCTGATTACAGTCTGCAGATCTTGGAGGATCTCCTGGACCAGCTGCAGATTATTTTCCCTTACAGCTTCCAACCGGGTTTCCTCAATTCGCTCATGAGGCTATGGCAGAGGAAAGGGCAGTTTTGGTTAAATAACTGAAAACACATAATAAAAGAACATAGTAGTCAGTGAAAAATTATGTTACTGGAAAACCACTAGGGAGTTAATTTGTTATATACAATGCAAATGGGACTTCAAGCAGAGCAATTCCAGGCAGCAAGTGAAACCGACCAGTGACATGCTTTTTCTGTTTTATCTAGCAATTGTGCTAAACGTTAGAACGTTCATTTAATATACTTACATCAATTCAGGGGAATCCATGCCAGCTGGAATGCAGGGAGCACCTCACATGGTAACTGGGAGTGAAATTCCTGAATCCTGCACAATTTAGCTTCCTTTATCTGCTCTTTCTTGTCCTTTTTAGATTTTAACGTTCACCATGGTTTGGACATTCCTCATTCAGTTTACTTACATCTGAGTTCAGGGTAATCCATGTCAGCTGAAATGCAGGTAGCACCTCACATGGTCCCTGAGAGTGGAATTCCCAAATCCTGCATGCTTTAACTTCCTTTAATCTGCTCCTTTGTGTTCCCATGAATCACTATGGTTTGGACGTATCTGTTCCCCTAAATTATTTATGTGGCGCACCCCCTAAAGATCCGATGGTGAATTAAGTCCTGTTTCCCCTTACAGCACACACAGCCGGATATGCAACGTTTTTGGTATTCTTCCTCTGGCTGAAAAGATTGGTCTAGAGGTTTCTTTTTGTGTTTTTATTAGGGAACAATGAACTTGGATGGGGATAGGGAGCATGGGATACAATGGATCTGTAAAAAACAGAACAATTTGAGGACTGCACTACACAATTCTCAGTTGTATTGAACAACTGCTGGCTATGCTGCACAACTTCTGGCTGCACTTTCCCAAAGTAATGTCCCACAGGATCTCCTGGCTGTCTGTGACCTGTACTCCTCCCAGAGTCTTAAAGTGCCACACTGTTACACTCTGCAGCAATAGGGTCTTGTACTCACATTGCCACAGGATCATCAGTTGCCTCCTGCCAACATTCACCAGGTTCTTCCTAGTGAGAGAGATGTAGACTCACACCATCTCTGAACAACTTGGGCTCTCTCCCACAGCTTCCTCCCAGCTCCTTCCCATGACTTTTCTTCTGACCCAACTGGATCCTTGGACTGGATTTGCGAATATGCCCCTAAGCTAAGCCTAGCTGGGACCTTGTTGTCTTCAGACTGGATTCCTCCAAGACTTCTGTCCAAGGGGGCAGAGGCCCTCAACAGGGGTCTCTTCCTGCAGAACTAGACCCAGGAACACTGCCTCCAGGCCTCAAACTATTTATGGGCTCTTCACCACCTTTTGGGCACACCTCCCCAGGGATTGGCTGGAGTCCCATAAATATTGAGGTTGCAGGCTCTGTGCTTTCTCCCACTATGTTCTAGGAATCTCTGGAAGACAGGGGGAAGTAACCTGTGAAACACTAAGCTAGCCACCCCTGCCCCTCAGATTACAGTGGAGCTAAACTAAATTTGGCCTAGCAGCCTACTCTAAATTAGGAGGGTGCTACATTTATGTCTAGTATATAATTTTAGAACCCTACTTATCCTGATGTCATTATGCACCCAGTGCCAGCACTAGGTCCTCTGGCACACAAGGCTAAGATTTTCAGAGGGCACCTACCCCATTACTTGAGCTGAAAAAGATGGCGCTTATACATCTAGTGGTGCGACCAGTGCAGGGTGTAGAAATGGCAGCAACTGTCCACTTGCACTAGGGTTACTACCATTTGGTCCAAGGACAGCAGACTGGGATGGGGGTTGGTGTTGCGACATGGTAAAGCCATTGTGATTTAGTCATAATCATCATGTTAAACCAGAGCCAGATTTACATGAACATTATACTAGCAAAATTTTGTTTCTCCATCTTGTAACTCAAGTAGCCTATAAGTCATCATAAGTCTCAATTTTGTTTTGTGACTTGTCCTTTTATTTACAAGTACTAAAATGATATTTTTGAAAATTTTATTTTTTAATGTGACCTTAAACTAACAAATTGAAATGTAAAAAAGAAAAGCAAACAAATGAAAATAGCTAAGGGATAAAAGGGTTAATAAAAACAATTAGCTTTAACTTAATAATGGCCCCAGCTGCCCCCCTTCCTCGCCAACACCACAGAGCCTGAGGCTAAAGCCTTTCCTGTCTGTGCATACATCCTATGTAACATCCAGCACAAGATAAACTCTGCTATTTGGGAAGCCCTCTAAGCGCCATATCTTGCTATGAATGTTTAGTCGATCTATCTGAGCGACAGAAAAAAAGGAAGAGGATTATTTAATGGTGGGGACACAGGTGTGGCTCCTGACTCAGGATCAAAGTTGAGATTTTCATATGGAGCTTGCTGATTTCTCAGGAAATTTAGAATTCGAGGAATAATAGTTCATGTACAGGACTATGCAGTCTTTCAATTATCTTAAGAAACCCAGATCTTGCCGGATTTACCTGTCCAAGACAAAGATCTACCTGTTTCCTATAGCTCTCATACTGTAATCTGCCTTCTTCAAAGCATTCACTATATCTCATCTCCAGTTCTTCATCCTTATTACTTACCGTAGGGCTTTCCATGATGCCTTTGAGGAAAATGAGATCCAGATCAGAGGATGGAGGGAGATCAGAAAACGGCTGCAGGACTTGCTGCATCC